ACCCCATCTTTACAAAAAAATTAAAAAAATAAAAATCGGTGCACTTGTAGTTGCAACTACTTGAGAGGCTGAAGCAGGAAGATTGCTTGAGCTCAGGAGTTTGAGGTTTCAGTGAGCTATGGTGATGACACTGCATTCTAGCCTGGGCAACAGAGCGAGAACCTATCTCAAAAAAAAAAAAAAGGCAATCTGGTACCTTTTGATAAAGTATTTGACTTATTTTCTCTTGGAGAAAATAGGATATAATTTACCCTCCATTTTTTTCTATAGCAATAATCTGTCTTCTAGAGCCATGGAGTAGAGAGAGATCTCAAGTCTTTTAAAAAAATCAAACTTTTTAAGGTTTTCTTTTATATTTTTGGAAATTAAGTTGTATTTCATGAATCATTAAAGTAGCAATGAGTATATTATATATTATTAAAGTTTAAAAAGTCAGAGTTATGGCATTAAAATGCATATTAGTAATGCAGAGTTTTTTTTTTTCATTAGTTTGCACAGACATCTCATTGAACATTTAAATGCAGAGATAGTTTTGCATACCATCACAGATGTGAACATTGCTTTGGAATGGATACGATCAACCTTGCTTTATATCAGAGCCTTGAAAAATCCATCTCATTATGGTTTGTTACTTTCATTTGGAAAAGTAGTAATTTTTTCAAGCCAACTAGGACTGTATTTATGCTAATAGGTTTTAGAATAGATTACAGAAACTATTAAATAACAGAAACAAAAGTAACAACAGTCAAAAAACATTCAGAGGCAAGAGTAGACAAAAGTGAGAAATCTTTATCCATTTTACTTCTGTTCTTTCAATAAGGTTTGAAATTAGCAGCATTAAAAATAGACTTAGTAGAAAACAATTAACTTCAATAAAAATAACAAAAATGCCTAAATCACTTAAAATAAGTTAAAGTTTTAAAAAGTTTTGAATTTTCTCTGTACTTAGTGTTTAACCACTCACTTATTCTGAATTTTTGACTGTTCATTTTTCAATTTATAAGAAATCGAAGTATATATTACTACCATTGCTGCTGGAATTTTTATCCTGCTTCAAAAGCCAACATACATCTGGTTGTTGCTTCTAGAGAGTTTTTTCATGTGGTACAGGTTATAAAATAAAAATACTTGGGATTGTTGAATATCAGATTAAACATGACTCATTGCAATACCATTCAGACTCTAAACTTTCAGATCTCTAAGGATACTATAAGCCTTTAGTAAAAGACTATCTATATAAATATCTATGTCATTTAAAAATTTATATTTCGACTAGGTAATATATTTACTTAGTTCAAAAATCATAAAGTATAAGACTATATAAAGTCTTCCACGCCTATCCCCTATCCTCACAGTTGTTCAGTTCCTATTTCTCCCGTTTCCTTCTCTCAGTTCTATAATCATTGGTATGCCTTTTTTTGTGTAATCTTCCCTTTTTGCATATAAAAGCAGATAAGAAATAAGAAAATGTAATTTTATATTTCTGCTTTTTAAACACAAATGGTGACATACTTTATTCATTTTCTGTTACTTTGTGACAACCCCAAAACTTAGCACCTTGAAACAACCAGCATTTATTATCTCACACAGCTTATGTGGGTCAGGAATCTGGGAACGTCTTAGCTAGGTAGTTCTGGGTCAGAGTCTCTCTTGAGATTGCAACAAGATGTCACCTAGGGCAACAGTCATCTGGAGGCTTTCCTGGGGCTTCAGGATTCATCTCTAAGAAGGCTCACTCACATAGTTTTTGGAGGCCTCAGTTTCTTGCTGGCTATTGGCAAGAGGCCTCTGTTTTTCTCTAGGTGGACCTTTCCTCATGGTGTGGCAGGTGACTTTCCCCAGGATGAATGATCTGAGAGAGACAGACAGATTAAGTCAGAACCTGCAGTGTCTTTTTATAACCTCGTGTCCAAAGTTATACATTATCACTTCTGCTTTATTCTCTTTTTTAGAAGCAAGTCACTAAGTCCTGGCCACATGAAGGCAAGAAGAATTAGGTTCACATCTTAGAGGGCAGAATATCAAAGAATTTGTGGACATATTTTTTAAACCATGATTATTTTACTGTTCTGCATTCTTTTTTTCTTAATATATCTTGGAAGCTTTTTAAATAGCTAAATAATATTCCGTTTTACCCATGTATCATTTAAATACATTATTTAAATCATCCCCAATTGATAGACATTTATACTTTTTATAATTGTTTGCTTTTACAAACAATGCAACAACAAAAAAACCCTTGCATTTTTCACATGTGTGAATTTATCTATATGATAAATCCCTAGAAATGGAATTACTGCATTAAAGGATATATGCATTTATAAATTTGATAGCTATTGCTAAATTGCTGCCTTAGTGGCTTATATAGCCACCAGCAGTGTTCAAGGGTACCATATTCTTTCTGTTTCTTCAGCCTCACCTTCAGGGTATACTTGTGTATTTTCACCAATATCATGTGTGAATAATGATATCTTTCTATGTTTTAATTTGCATTTCTTCCTTCTCATGGTTACTTTATTTTTTGTAGTTCCTTTTTTTTATATTGAAGAATCACTGACATACAATAAATTGCACAAATCTTAGGTATAAAGGCCAATGAAGTTTTACATGTGTGTGTATACACACCCACAAACACACATGTAACCACAGCCCAAATCAAGATGTAGAATATTTTCCAGAAGTTGCCTCATGTACCTTCTCTGTCGATATCCACCTCCAGAAGTAAATGCTATTCTGACTTCTGTTACCATAGGTTAGCTAATCTATTTTTGAATATAAATAGAATTATACCGTATTTGCTCTTTTGTGTCTGATTTTTTTTTTAAGCTCAACATAATGTCTATGAGATTCATCCATATTATTGGGTGCATTAGTAGTAGTTTGTTCTTTGTTATTGTCCAATATCCGATTATATGCAATATCCAGCTATATGAATATACCACAACTTAATCATCCATTCTCTTGTGGGTCATTTCCAGTTTTTGACTATAATGAATAAAACTACAGTGAACATTCTTCTACATATCTTTTGATGGATGTGGGCATTCATTTTTTTTGAATATATAGCTAGGAGTAAAATTGCTAGTTCATAGGGTAGGCCTATGTATGACCTATGTTTAGCTTTAGTGGATACCCCAAAATACAGTTGAACTGATTTGTACTTTCAACAGCAATGTCTGAGAGTTCTGGAGAGCCCTACGTGAGTTTGCCAACAGTTAATTTTGTCAGTTTTTTAAATTCCAGCCATTCTTATGTGTGTAGTAGTTTCTTTGTGATTTCTTTTTGCATTTCCTCAATGAGTACTAGCACTAAGGATCTTTTCATATGTTTATTAGCCATTTGGATATCTTGTTTCGTGAAGTGCCCCATTCACATCTCATCCGTTTTTTAAATTGTTTATATTTTTATTATTAATATATAAAATTTTTTTGTATATTCTGATGAGTCTTTTGTCACATATATGTATTAAGATCTCTTCTCCCAGTCTGTGGCTTGACTATTCATTGTCTTAAGGAATGTCTGATGAAAGGAAATTCTTAATTTTAAATAATGCCGCTGTGAACATTGTTACATATGTCCTCTGATATATATATACATGTTTATCTTTGAGTATGTTCTAGGTGTGAAATTATTGTGTTATGAAGTATGTGTAGTTTCAACTTTGGTAAATAGCACAAAATGGTTTTATTACCAAACATGTTTTCATAGGAACATCCATTTTATAATGAAAGTCCATTAGAAAATATTAATCACTTGACAAATATTTGCTATATGTAAAACATTAGGAATTTATTCCATACTATTCTTGTTAAATTAGTGAATTCCTAGTTACTCTTATACAATAAAATGGGCAAAAGATACCCAAATGATGTTGAAAGGATTTTAAAACAGTGGTTGTTTTCTATAGATATTTAAGCCTTGTTTGATTTCGATACATTGGTTTTTTTTCCTATATAAAATGTAATTAAACTACTCTTCTCTAGTTAACTGGGATATAAACTGAAACTATAAAGATGAATTAAGTCCATTCTATTTTATTTTTTTATGAATTTTCATGACTTATACAGGTTTTGCATCTGGATTGAACAAAGATGGAATTGAAGCAAAATTACAAGGTTAGATGCATTTCCTTCAAAAAATTATATTCTATAAATTTTAATGATAAAAATTAGTTGTGGCCTGGGTGCGGTGGCTCATGATTGTAATCCTAGCTCTCTGGGAGGCCGAGGTGGGCGGGTTGTTTCAGCTCAGGAGTTCAAAACCAGCCTGAGCAAGAGCGAGACCCCATCTCTACTAAAATTAGAAAGAAGTTAATTGGACAACTAAAAATATATAGAAAAAATTAGCCGGGCATGGTGGTGCATGCCTGTAGTCCCAGCTACTCGGGAGGCTGAGGCAGGAGGATT